TATCAGAAACACCCACCCCAGACTGGTTAGAAGAAGCCCAAAGTGAATTAAAGCCTGGGCTGGCTCCTGTCCCTCCCTCAGCTTGCTTTCTTTCTTCAGCTAGTCTGGCTTGCCTGCCCTATGAGTGGCAACTGCTTGGTAGGTTAGTGGAGTTTACTGGTCTCTTCTCTGCAGGAGCTGCTTCCCCAACTGATGGCTGTGAAAGATGGGCTGGAAGCAGGCTGGCTGTTCTGGAGAATGCTGCCAATCCAAGGACTCGTGTGTGTTTTTGTGTGTACTGATGACAGTTGGTCAGCACTTGCTGCTGGTAGTGATGAGGAAGGTGGGCTCTGCCTTTCCAATGATTTCTCCCCTCCATGATGTCTATGGGGACTGTAGATGATGAAGGTCTAGTATATTTGTGGAGCCTGTTCTTTCCAAGTGTCTGGGGTTCAGGACATGGATTTGTCTCCATCTTAGTTCCTGGGCCAATGCTGGACATGGTTGTGGTGATGCATTGACTTGACTGACAGATGTGGTCCCCCATGTCTTCCTCAATAGCCTTTGAAAGGCAATTTACCCCACTGTCCAAAAGATTTTACAGACCTCCTCAAGCAATCACAGCATGTCCTGAATGACAATTACTAGGCACTCTTCCTACAATCTACAAAATATTCATGGAAGGGGCTGCTATGGCAACTCCATATTCTCAATTTCTCATCCCATTTGCATTTTCATGGTGTTTTTGACCTTATCTTTAGATTTTTTCCAGAGAACATTTGGTGGAGACTATTGATTCCTTAATAACCGCAAACAAATCATCTAGTCAAGAAGAGATCTGTACTGCCAGCTATGAATGAATGAATGAAAAAGCATTTGTTAAGCATTTACTATGTGTAAAGAACTGTACTAAATGCTATGGTACATACCTCCAGTGCCAATTCCCACCTCCACTTTCTGAACTCCCAAAATCCATGCTTATGTCTTCAATATTATTATCCTAAAGTTGTGTCTAATTTGTTGGAAGTGTGATTCAAAGGGAATGAATGGCAATAAGAAGGAGAAGAACAGAACACCTATATCTTGAACTTGCCCCACTGGGGCTGTTCCCCCTGATCTCCATCCTTCCTCATTCTTATCCCCACACCACTCTTCTGCACAATCTAACATCATGCTGAACATTCAGTAGGTTCTGAACAAATAATTTATATTCTACTGCAATTTGACTTAAAATCTAATAAACAAGGAACTGCCTAACTCAGATTTTGTTGATCATCAACTCTGATCTTCCTCAAATTTTTTGAGCCTAGAAAGGTGTTCCCAATTCTCCCAGCTCTTGATGTATGTAATTGTTACTATGATTTTTATTCTCTCTGACTCTAAAAAACAAAAAAAGTATAAGCCCTACTGGCCCTACAATGTCAGGGAATCCAGAAGTTTCTGAGTATCTTTCTTGTGTCAGGTACCAGTCATTTCAGATTTCTAGACCTTAGTTTCCCTTTCACTAACACCAGGGGCTTGGACTGTCTGATTTGAGATGCCCTTTACTGTCACCCTCTGGGTAACTTCTCAGCAGTCACTACAAACTTCTATATTTAATCTTCCCTTTTGGGGAAAACTTGGAAAAGGATCCCATTTTCTGAGAGGGTTTTGCCAGCTTGTGTATGATCTCATAAAAGTCACTTCAACTTCCTAGGCCTCAGTGTCCCTTTCAGTGACATCAGTGCCTAGGACTAAATTATGTGAGAAATTTCTGCCAGCTTCTGGGTGAACTCATAACAGACTGTTCAGCTTTCTGAGCCTCAATTTCTCTTTCTGTGAGAGGCCTGCATGTGTGCTTGAAGCCTTTGTGTTATCTCAGAGCAGTGACCTCTGCTTTCAAGGCCTCAGTTTCCCTTTCTGTAACAACATGGGGTTGGACTCCAATATCTGAAATGCCCCTCACTGCCATACTCTTGAGTTCTCTCACCATTAAGTTCACATTTCTAGGCCTCATTTTCCCTTTCATTGATAGCAGGGACTAGAACCCCATTATCTGGGGGGTGTCTGCCAGGCACTGTCTGATCTGAAAGCACTCACGTCAGATTTCTAGGTCTCAGTTACCCTTTCAATAGCAACAGGGGGTTAGTCTCCATGATCTGACATGTCCCAACCTGACAGAATCTGGGTAATTTCACATCAGTAAATTCAGACTTCTTAGGTGTCATCTTCCCTTTCAGTGAAAGCAGTGGCCAAGATTCCCTTATGAGAGAAGGATCTCTTAGCTTATGGATAAATTTTTAACAGTCACTTCAGGTTTCTGCACCTCTGTTTTCCCTGCAGTGGCAGCCCAGGCTTAAAACTGACTACCTATATGGGCCCTGGCTGATTATGTGTGATTTCATGCCAGTTATTTCAGGTTGCTAGACCTCAGTTTTCCTTTCACTAACAGCACGGGCTTGGACTGTCTGATTTGAGATGCTCCTTACTGTCACCCTCTCGGTAACTTCTCACCATTCTCTTCAAATTTCCTGACCTCATCTTCCCTTTTTTGAAAACCTGGAAAAGGATCCCATTATCTGAGATGGTTTTGTCAGCTTGTGTATGATCCCATAAAAGTTACTTCAACTTCCTAGGCCTCAGTGTCTCTTTCAGTGACATCAGTGCCTAGGACTAAATTATGTGAGAAATTTCTGCCAGCTTATGGGTGAACTCATAACAGACTGGTCAGCTTTCTCAGCCTCAATTTCTCTTTCTGTGAAAGTCCTGGGTTAGAGTATATGCCCTGTGTGTGCACTTGAAGCCTTTGTGTTATCTCAGAGCAGTGACCTCTGCTTTCAAGGCCTTAGTTTCCCTTTCTGTAAGAGCAGGGGGTTGGACTCCATGATCTGAGAGGCAGCTCACTGCCAACCTCTTGGGGATCTCTCACCATTCACTTCAGATTTCTAGGCCTCATCTTCCCTTTCAGTGATAGCAGGGACTAGAGCCCGATTATCTGAGAGGGGTCTGCCAGGCAATGGCTGATCTCAAAGTACTCACATCGGATTTATAGGTCTCTGTTACCCTTTCAATACAAACAGGGCTTTAGACTACATGATCTGAGATGCCACTCCCTGAAAGCATCTGGGTGATATCACAGCAGTCAATTCAGGCTTCTAAGGTCTCAGTTTCCCTCACAGGGAAAGCAGGGGCTAGGACTGGTTTATCTGATGGGTGTATGCCAGCTTGGGCATGGTATGAGACAAGTTACTTAAGCTTCGTAGTTCTCAGTGTCCCTTTCAGTGAAATCAGTGCCTAGGACTCAATGATTTGAGAAATTTCTGCAAGCTTATGGCTGAATTCATAACAGTCACTTCAGGATTGTTGTCCTCAGTTTCTCTTTAAGTGAAGACCAAGATTAAAGTATATACCCTGTGTGGGGCACCTGGAGCCTTGGTGTTATTTTAGACCAGTCAGCTCTGCTTTCTAGGCCTCAGGTTCTATTTCAGTATCATCAGAGGGGTGGACCCCATGATCTGAGATGCCTCTCACTGCAACTCTCTGGGTGATCTCTGACCATTCACTTAGGACTTCTAGGTCTCTTCTTCCCTTTCAAGGAAAGCAGTGGCAAGGATTCCCTTATGAGAGAGGGATCTCTTAGCTCATGGATAAATTTTTAACAGTCACTTCAGGTTTCTGCACCTCGGTTTTCCCTGCAGTGCCAGCACTGGCATAAAATTGATGACCTATATGGGCCCTGACTGATTATGTGTGATCTCACACCAGTCGTTTCAGATTTTTAGACCTCAGTTTCCCTTTCACTAACATCAGGGGTTTGGACTGTCTGATTTGAGATGCCCTTTACTGTCACCCTCTGGGTAACCTCTCAGCAGTCACTTGAAACTTCTATACCTCATCTTCCGTTTTTGGGAAAACCTGGAAAAGGATCCCATAATCAGAGAGGGTTTTGCCAGCTTGTGTATGATCTCATAAAAGTCACTTCAACTTCCTAGGCCTCAGTGTCCCTTTCAGTGACATCAGTGCCTAGGACTAAATTATGTGAGAAATTTCTGTCAGCTTATGGATGAACTCATAGCAGAGTGTTCAGCTTTCTGAGCCTCAATTTCCCTTTCTGTGAGAGGCCTGGGTGAAAATATACGCCCCGTGTGTGCACTTGAAGCCTTTGTGTAATCTCAGAACAGTGACCTCTGCTTTCAAGGCCTCAGTTTCCCTTTCTGTAAGAGCAGGGGGTTGGACTCCGTGATCTGAGAGGCAGCTCACTGCCACCCTCTTGGGGATCTCTCACCATTCACTTCAGATTTCTAGGCCTCATCTTCCCTTTCAGTGACAGCAGGGACTAGAACCCCATTATCTGAGAGGGGTCTGCCAGGCAATGGCTGATCTCAAAGCATTCATGTCTGATTTCTCCGTCTCAGTTCCCCTTTCAATAATAATAGGGGATTAGACTCCAAGATCTGACATGCCACTCCCTGAAAGCATCTGGGTGCTATCACACCAGTCAATTCAGGCTTCTAAGATCTCAGTTTCCCTTACAGGGAAAGCAGGGCCTAGGAAAACTTTATCTGATGGGTGTATGCCAGCTTCGGTATGATATTAGACCAGTTACTTAAGCTTCGAAGTTCTCAGTGTCCCTTCCAGTGAAATCAATGCCTAGGACACAATTGTTTGAGAAATTTCTGCAAACTTATTGCTGAATTCATAACAGTCACTTCAGGTTTCTAGGCCTCAGTTTCTCTTTAACTGAAAGACCAAGTTTAAAGTGCCCTGTGTGGGCACTTGAAGCCTTAGTGTTATTTTAGACCAGTCAGCTCTGCTTTCTATGCCTCAGTTACCCTTTCAAAAACAACAGGGAATCTGTCTGCCAGTTCCGCCATATTTGAGTCGCCAAAATGACGAACACAAAAGGAAAAAGGAGGCGGACTCGATACATGTTTTCTAGGCCCTTTCGAAAATGTGGTGTTGTCCCTCTGGCTACATATATGTGAATATACAAGAAAGGTGATATTGTACATATCAAGAGCATGGGCATATTTTAGCAAGGAATGCCCCAGAAATGTTACCATGGCAAGACTAGACGGGTCTATAATGGTACTCAACATACTGTAGGCATTGTTGTAAAAAAACAGGTTAAGGGCAAGATTCTAGCCAAGAGAATTAATGTTCGTATTGAGCATATTAAGCATTCCAAGAGCAGAGACAGCTTCCTGAAGCAGGTAAAGGAAAATGATCAGAAGAAAAGGAAGCAAAGAAAAGGCATTTGGGTTCCACTGAAGTGCCAGCCTGCTCCACCCAGAGAAGCACACTTTGTCAGAACCAATGGCAAGGAGCCTGAGCTGTTGCAACCGATCCCCTACTAATTCATGGCATAAATGGCTATAAAATAAAAGGAATAAAAAAATTCTTGGTTTAAAAATAAACAAAGACAAAAGTGGATTAGACTTCATGATCTGCGATGTCCCTCCCTGACAGAATCTGGGCGATTTCACGCCAGTCAATTCAGGCTTCTTAGGTCTCAGTTTCCCTTACAGAGAAAGCAGGGGCTAGAACTCCTTTATCTGAGGGGTGTCTGCCAGCTTGTGTATGATATCACACCAGTTAATTTGGCTTCTTAGATCTCAGTGTCCCTTTCAGTGAAATCAGAGCCTAGGACTCAATTATCTGAGAAATTTCTGCCAGCTTATGGCTGAATTCATGAAAGTCTCTTCAGGTTTCTGGGCCTCAGTTTCTACTTAAGTGAAAGACCAATGTTAAAGTATATACCCTGTGTGGGCACTTGAAGCCTTGGTGTTATTTTAGACCAGTCAGCTCTGCTTTCTAGGCCTCAGGTTCCATTTCAGTATCATCAGAGGGGTGGACCCCATGATCTGAAATGTCCCTCACTGCAACTCTCTGGGTGATCTCTGACCATTCACTTCGGATTTCTAGGTCTCTTCTTCCCTTTCAAGGAAAGCAGTGGCAAGGATTCCCTTATATGAGAAGGATCTACCAGCTCATGGATAAGTTTGTAACAGACACTTTAGGTTTCTGCACCTCGGTTTACCCTGCAGTGGCAGCCCTGATTTAAAATTGACGACCTACATAGAACATTATGAAATGTAAAATGGGTAATATTGATTATATTAAATTGAAAGGGTTTTGCATACGCACAGTCAATACAACCAAGAATAGAAAGGAAGTAGAAAAGTCAGAAAGAAGTTTTACAACCAGTGTCTCTCATAAAGGCTTCATTTCTAAAACACGTAGAGAACTAAGACAACTTTATAAGAATACAAATCATCTCCCAGTTGATAAACGGTCAAAGAATATGAACAGTCAGTTCTCAGATGAAGAAATTAAAGCCATCTGTAGTCACATAAAAAGTGCTCTAAATCACTATTATTTAGTGAATTGCAAATCAAAACAATTCTGAGGTACCAAGTTATACCTATGAGACTGGCCAACATGAGAACACAGGAAAATAATAAATGTTGGAGAAGATGTGGGAAAATTGAACACCAGTGCATTATTGGTGGAGTTGTGAAATGATTCAACCATTTTGGAGAGTGATGTGGAACTATACACAAAGGGCTATGAAAAATGTTCCCAGTCTCAGAATCAGCAGTAGCACTTCTAAGGCTGTGTCCCAAAGAGATTATACAAATGGTAAAAGGAGCCACACGTACAAAAATATTTATAGCAGCCCTTTCTGCCAAAGAATTGGAAATTGAGGGGATGCCCATCAATTGGGGAATGGCTGAATAAGTTGTGGTATATGAATGTAATGGAATACTATTGTGCTATAAGACATGACGAGCAGGTGCACTTCAGAAAAACCTGCAAAGACTTGTTTGGACTGATACTGAGTGAAGTGAGCAGAACCAGGAGAACATTGTACAGAGTAACAGCCACATTGTGTGATGAGTGACTTTGAAAGGCTTAGCCCTTCTCAGTGATGCAAGAATTTAAGAGGTCTCCAAAGGTCTTGTGATGGAAAATGCTATCCACATGTAAAGAAAGAACTGTGGAGTTTGAATGCAGATTGAAGCATATTATTCGCTCTTTTTTTCTTCTGTTTTGTTTTGTTTCTTCTGTTTGGTGGTTCTTCCTATCGTTTCTAACTGTTCCTTACAACATCACTGATGTGTAAATATGCTTAGTAGGAAAGTATATGTATAGCCTATATCAGATTGTGCACTGTCTTGGGAAGGGAGGGGAGAGGTGGGGGAGAAAAATTTAAAACTCAAAAGCTTGTGGAAGTGATTGTCGATAAATCAAAATAAATTAATAATAAAGGAAAATTGGCCAAATGGAAAAGAAAGTACAAAAACTAACAGGAAAAAGCCTCCTTAAGAGTTAGAATTAGCAGAGGGGATTCTGGGAAGATGGTGGAGTAGGTCAGAAAATTCCAAGCTCTCAAGATTTTCCCCTCGAAAGAGACACCCTAGCACCTTAGGGCAAACAAAGGGCTAGTAAAAATAAATCAGAATAGAGGTACACCAGGAGTCTTCTTGGGACAATTCTGGAGGATCAGAAGAACACTTTGAGAATGGATTTGGCCCCTGTGAAGATTAAACCCCTCCAGGCTAGGGGCTGTGTTAACAACAAGCTGCAAGCTGCTTAAACAGCAAGCCCCAAGCCCTGGGGTTAGCTGGTTTGGGAGGCTGCCTGGGCCCCAGCAGCTACAGGAAGCTTTACTGCCCCCTCCAGACTAGGAGGGGAGTAGGGAGTCTGAGCCAGGAAGATCAAAGGAACCTCTGCTGACAAGGAAGGCCAGACCCAGCTGTGAGGCAGAGAGTGGAGGGGGCAGAAGGAACCGGCCACGCCCACCTGGTGAGTGCAGAAGCAGTGGGGCAGAAGGCCCCTGGCTGTGGGGCTGAGAGAAGGCTGCAGGTTTGGCTTTGGTTTCAGGCCAGGGGGGAGACCTGAAGAGCTGGGGCCAGGGTCACCATCCCCCTACCCCAGGGCTAGAGGTGATTACCCAAATGAAGCTATTGCTACAAAAATTCACAGGCAGAGGAGAAAGAATCCAACCATAGAGAGCTATAGTGGGAATACAGAAGACCGAGGTTCGTCTTTAGAGGAGGATATTAAAGCACAAAAGCCCCTCCTGCCCCCAAAAGTAACATCAAATGGCCACCTGCCCAAAAAGAATTCATAGAAGAACTTAAAACAGAGTTTAAAAATCCAAGGAGAGGCCTTAGATTCTTATAATCTAGCCACTGCTTACCCATGTTCAGACTCCTCAATGGTCTGCCCAATATGACAATGTTCTAATAAACCTTGTCTTTGGCTGAAAGAAGGCTTGGGTCCAATTCTTTCAGGCAGAACCCACGTATTGTGATTTTGGGGTCCTGGGACCCCTGAACCCCTAAACCACATCATTTTGGTGGCCCATAGGGGGAAACTGCCTAACCCCAAGTTCTTCTCCAGGCAAGACTTGAAAGGTATGTAAGCCTCCCCTCCCTCCTTTCTTGCTCTGCAGTTAGGATTGCTCTCCAAGCACCAAGGCTTGGAGGTGCTTTTCAGGCAGACAGGACAATCTGTATTTTCATAAATACTCCCCAATGTAATTGAAAATGTCCGTTTTATCGACATGTGGTTCAATGAAATAATTACTTTCATTTTTTTCTTTATTGACTTGTAAATTCACCGTTTCATTTTTGTTTTTAGTAATTTTGTTTTATTTTTGTTTTAATCAAGTTACCAAATTGCTTATACATGTATTTTTTTTGTAAATCAGCTTCTAGTTTCATTTACTATTTCAATTTTTTCTTAAACATTTGTAATGTCAATTGACTTATTTTAATAGTTTGTCTTTTTTCTAGATGAAAACTAGAGCTACACAGTGGTCTTTTACACTGGACAATCGCAGGGGTGAGGTAGGTATGGTTTCTCTAATTATAATTTCATTTTAAACATTAAGAAATTCAATTATTCCTTAGTCTTTTGCAATTAAAATTTTAAAAAGATTTAGAGTGTGAAACTGTAAAGAAACTACAAGGTGAAGTAGCCTTTTGAAATCTGGATGTTCAAATTACACACAAACTCAGACAAGATCTAATCAAATCAGATTGTGTTTGCTTTTTATATGGCCCAAATAATCTAAATGTGTTTTTGTTAATATTTTGGTCATGTCAAAAAATATAGCCTTTTGTGACTTATAACCTACTTTGTACTTCTAATAGATTTGTATCACAGTACATTTTGTACTTATAATACAAAAGTTATAACTGTTATCACCCCAAAAATATGATTTTTGTCTAGTTACAATGATACTAATACCATATTGACAAAATCTAAGCCAGAATTTTAGAGAGGGAAAATTATATGGAATAGAAATTCATGCTTTCTAATATTCTCTTGTTCTTTAGTGTATATTAAAACGTTTATTGATTGAAGTTAAATCAAATTTAAAACAAATTTTAATAAAAGATATAAAGCACTTACAACTGAATAAAAAAATGGCAACTGGGAATATGGTGGTGTTCTTTGACAATCATGAGAACACATACTAAATTATTGTAAATAATGTGTCTAAATCCAAGAGCAAATATATACATAATACAATTTTGAAACCTTCCAAATAAGACATAGGATAAAACAAGAATGCCTGTTTTCAAAACTACAATAATTCTGGAAATGTTAAGTATAATAGCAAAACAAGTAGTAAATATAAGACAATAATAAGAATAAACATAAGAAAAGAGTAAACGTTTTAGGTAATATAATAATGTACTTAGAGACCCCTAAAAAGCAAAATTAAAAACTTCATTGAAATAGTTAACTTTATCTGGAAGAAACAAAGAAGAAGAAAAAAGAGGAAAGAAGAGAGAACAGGAGAGAAAGAAAGGTAGAGGGGGAGATTTGAAAGGTGCTTTGATTCCCAAAGAAACTATATTCTGCTAAGTAGAAAGAAATACCACAGTAGTAGGTGAGGCAGCAGATTAGAGATGGTCTGGAAAGATGATTTTGAGAGTCTCTGCTGTTAAATATCAGCACATTCTGGACTCCTCAGTCTCTTTCACCTAGTACATTCCCTCAACTTCACACCTAAAACACAGTTTCAGTTGCCATTCTCTCACCCCATCATCCTCCATTTCAGTAAACTCCAGTGGCTTCCTTATTACCTACAGGGTCACATACAAAATGCTTTGGCATTCAAAACCCATGATAACCTTGCTCTCTAATACATGCTCTTTGATGCAGTAACACTGGCATCCTGACTCTTCCATGAACAAGACACTCCACTTCTGGCAGTTCTGTCTGGCGCCTCCCCATCCCTGGAATGCTCTGATTTTGTGTGTCAGAACTGAAATCCCACCTTCTCTAGGAACCTTCCTCAACCCCTCTTAATTCCATTGCCTTCCCTTTGTTAATTTTTCTTATTTATCCAGTCTACAGCTTGTTCTGACATGTTTGCTTATTGTCTTCTTGTTAGATTGTAAGCTCCTTGAGTACAGGGACTGATTTTTGTGCTTTTTTTTTTTAAGCTAGTGTCTGGCACATAGAAGGTGGTTAATATTTCTTGTTTGATTGGTTGATTATCAGGAACCAAGGCATCAGTAATAGTTGGAAAGTCAGTTCAGTAATTTACTGAACAAGTAAAGTCTAGTACCTGCCAAGAAGACCCTAGATGATTTCACAGCAGAAAAATGACTGAACAATAACAATTTAACTTTGAGCAGCTAGGTGACAAAGGTATCAGCATGGAGACAGGAAGACCAATTTTCCTGCCTTCAAATGTGGCTTCAGACGTTTACTAGCTGTGTGACCCTGGGCAAATCACTTAACCCTGTTTGCCTCGGTTGCCTCATCTATAAAATGAACTGGATAAGGAAATGCAAACCACTGCAGTATCTTTGTGAAAAAAACCCCAAATGCAGTCATAGAATTGGACAGAACTGGAAAACAAAAAGTTAACTTTATGGATTCACTGACATTTGTATTTGGTTTTTCTTTTTAGGGTGGTGGTCATTCTGAAGAATTGGAACCCTTGAAGCCATCATCCTCAGAAAGGTTAGTTGGTGTTTCTGACCAAAATACGGGATTTTTTAAAAAAAGTACAAACATACCAAGGCTGCACATGCATTGAAGGTTATCCACATAACCGCTATTTCTGCATCTCCCACTCTTTCTCCTTCTGTATCTTTGTCGAAGATACACAATATGAGATGACTCAAGTTAGTGTATGAAACTGTGAAATTATATTGTTTGAAATATTGTCATATCAACTTTATTAATAATCTCACCAAGTAAGCCAGTTTTCTGAAAACTTGCAGTTCACTAGGGTCACCCTGTTTCTTCATTTGGCTTACTTACATATAAACATAGATTTTAAATTTTCTTCAGGAAACTTGAAGTTGTTGAACATATTGACTCTGGTGATGGACAGTTTGTGGATGAATCTATAAATAAATTTCAGTCAGATAAAAATTCAAATAATCTTGTTATGGAAAGCTTCAGTGAAGGTAAGTGATACCATATTTCTATACTTATTTATAAGTTAATATTAGTTATGGGTAGAAATTTTGGTTTTACATTCATAAAATTAATTTTTATTATGAAATTATAGTCATAGAAAAATAGATTCATAACTGAGAGGGATTTTAGAACTTATCCAAACCCCTGATATTATAGATGAGGAAACAGAGGTACATGAAAGTAACATGGCTTGCTCAAAATCAGGGTGGTACATTCATATGGGAACAAATAACATACGCATCATTATTTTTCATTAATAAACTCTTTGGTATATAGGCCCTTAGTTTATAAACTCTATCTGCAAATTAGTGATTTATGAATAGTTTTTCAAATGGTTGTTTTTGTTTTATTTTGAACTTAAAACTGCTGGTTTTTTTCTTGAGGAGATGAGAGGTGAACTTTTGCCTTTCTTTTTGGAGCAGAGGCCTCCATACCACTTCTTGCTCATCTTCTGACCATGATATCTGCTCTAAATACTCATTATTGTCTTCTACCCATTGTTAACTTAGACTCTGCCCTTGGATTGCTCCAGCCATGATAGGTCAGCTTTTACCTTTTACCTTATCTTGACAGGGCCTAACCCCTAACCCAGTTAGTAAAGGTGTCCACAAATACCAGAAGGAACTTAACATCTCTACAAAGGGGCATCTGAGTGAAATCTATTTGCCAATCTTCTCCTAGATATGTGCCCCTTCTGTACACAGGTTTTAAAAGGGGTGTGGGGGAGGTTTAATGGCCCCTTCAGGGTTCACCTAGGCACAGATAGCATAGGATTGGCAAACTTTCTGGATATCTTGTGAACAGTGAAGCTAGATTTCACCAGAGACTAGAGGATGTTCTTTTCCAGCTTACATTGGTTGTCCTCTAGGATGAGGAATTAGCCCAAGGATGTCTGAAACCACCTGGATGAGGAGAGAGTATGTCCTCTTTCTTTGGAGGTGATAGGAATCAGGGAGCTGAGAGAGTAATGGTGCCACGATCAGGGGTAAGCTTACAGCTGCTCAAGTGGCAGAGTCTGTAAGTTGGTTACTTCTGACCTGATTGAATCCCCTTTTTGAAAATGTCCTTTAGAAGACAATAGATACCTCCCTAAATTCATGAACAGCTTACAGAAACTGTAAAATTTCTTTAGCATGTTTAATGGGGGAATATTTGGCTGTCAAGAATCTTCCTTTTCATATAGCCTCATGAGCATGTAAGACATGAAAAGCATATTTGAAATCAGTCAGGCCCTTTCCCAATTTTAAAGCCCTTGTGATGATGGCAAGTTTAGCCCTCTGGGCAAAGGTCTGAGGGTGGGTGGGGGTGGGAAGGCAGTTTGTCCTCTAAGGTGCTAATAAGGCTGACTACTGAGTAGCCTGCTCTTCTCTCCCTGTCCTCACTGAAACTGGATCCATCTATGAACCATTCCCCATCAAGGTTTTCAAGAGTAAAGTCCTTCAAGTTGGGGGTGGCTAGAGTAAACAGAATCTAGGGTCTCCTCAGTCATGAATAATGTCACCCAACAGTATTGGCAAGCAGGGGTAGCTGGATTGAGAGTGTGGCACACCCAGAGAGTCAGATCTATTGGTGAGCCAGCCACTGATGGCTCCAAGATACTGTGAACCTGGTGAGGAGTTAGGACTTCTAAAGAGTAATTTTGGAGGCCTCCTCAATCAAAATGGCTATGGCAGCCACTGCCTGTAGGCAAATGGCCACCCAAAGTTAACACAATCAAGTTCTTTAGAAAAGTAGCTACCAGGCTGGTGTCAGATACTAGCGCCTGGGTTAAAACTCCCATGGCATAGTCCTGCCTCTCATCAATATACAAGGTAAAGAAGGGTTTTTCCAAGTTGGGCAGGGTTAAGGCCCAGGTGGTAGTCAGTTTGGCCTTCAGGGTCTTGAAAGCCTTGGCCTGTTCCAAATGGAACAAGTGAGGGCCTTGAGTAGAGTCATACAGGGGCTTTGCAATAATACCAAAACAGGGGATACAGATTCTACAAAACCCTGCCATACCCAGAAAGGTGCACAATTGTGTTTTGGTGGATGGAACAGGAATGGACTGTTTCCTTTCTGGGGTTAGAGTTGGAAGTGGGAGTCAGTTCATGGCCTAGATATTTTACAGATTAAGTGGCAATTTGGGCTTTAGCAGAGGAGACTTTGTAGCCCTGAGTACTGAGGAGGTTGAGGGTCTGTACAGTAGAGGCCAGGGAGGCCTCTCAGGTCAGGCTGCAGATGAGAATATTATCTCTACATGTTGAATTAGATTAGTGGTCTCAGATCCCACAAACCTTTTTCCTAAAGCCTGGCTGAATAAATGGGGGCTATCTCAGAAGCCCTGGTGCAGGATTGTCCACGTGATTTGGTGTGGATTTGGTTTCCCTGGTGGTGTCCTCTCAAAAGCAAAACTAAACTGGGAGTCTTTGTGGAGTGGTATATAGAAGAAAGCATCTTTAAGGTCCAGAGTGGAAAACTACTAGGTATCCTGCAGGATCTAGCTAAGGATGGTTTAAGGGTTAGGCACTCCAGGATGGTTTGGGATAACAGCTTTCAGTAACAGTCCTCAGATTACACTGTTTGGTTCTTTTCTTTCTTTCTTTCTTCTTTCTTTCTTCTTCTTTCTTTCTTCTTTCTTCTTTCTTTCTTCCTTTCTTTCTTTCTTCTTCCTTCCTTTCTTTCCTTCCTTCTTTCTTCTTCCTTCTTCCTTCCTTCCTTCCTTCCTTCCTTCCTTTCTTTCTTTCTTTCTTTCTTTCTTTCTTTCTTTCTTTCTTTCTTGTAGGGCAATTGTGGTTAAAAGACTTGCCCAGGGTCACATAGCTTTTGAGTATGATGTGTCTGAGGTGGGATTTGAACTTCTGACTCTATGGTCAGTGCTGTATCCATTACACCACCTAGCCGCCCTCACTTGGTTTCTTACCTGGAAGGGTGGCTTATACTTAAAGAATTTCTCAGTAATGCCATCCCTTCTAGGCCTTGGACTTAATCAAATACTGGCAACTGTAGGGAAATAGACTAGGATCTTGGAGGCAGAGGAGCTGGGGATTCACTGTTCCCAGACCTAAGAGTCTACTACAGCCCAAATTTGTGGTGGAATATGGGGAGGCCTTGAGGAAATTAGCAAAAGTGCTCCCAAAGTAGGTTCCCAAATTCACCATTAGCTCTACCTCAACAAAGGATTGGGCAAGAGGAGAGGACAACAAAGGAGTGATTAGGGCCAGCTAGGTTAGGTGGCAGGGTGAATAGAGCACCAGCCCTGAAGTCAAGAGGACTTGAGTTCAAATCTGGCCTCAGACACATAACACTCACTAGCTGTGTGACCCTGGGCAAGTCACTTAACCCCATTGCCTAGCTCCCCCCCCCCAAAAAAAGGAAGGGGTTACTAAACAACAGATCCTCAAACTGGCAAAGCAGAGCACTTTCCAAATTTGCCTTTGATCCCCATGACATGGTGTGAAGAACTGGTAAAGCCAAAGTGCTGGTGTAGGACAGAATAAGTGGCTCCTGTGTCAGTAAGAAAGTTAATGATCTTACCTTCCACAAGCAGAGTTATTCTGGGTTCAGTCATGGTGATGGAGAAGGAGGGAACCTGGCTGGATTGAGGCCCATCACTCCAAATCCTCAGGAGACTGGAGTGTGGATATTGGGAGGAGGCCACTTGACCCCCTTGTGGGCCGTCTCTCTGCCATTGTCCCTCCTGGTTGCAAATAGAATATGGACCTGGTGTCTTCCTCTTCAGTAGGCACTTAAGAGACCACTTATGAGACTTAAGGCACTGAAAGTATGAGCCCTACTGGGTACTAGGTATGGCAGCAACCTAAAGTTGAGCCTGTTCTCTGTTCCTTGCCCTAGCCTTGTGGTCCTTATCTTGTGCAGCAGTTTAGTCCCTGTTGTTAAATACTCCAAATGCTTGGCCTAAGGTGCCTGGGGGCCCACTGCTAACTTTTATAACTTTTTCTGGATATTTGGGGGAGAGATTGACTAATGAAGTGCATGCTGAGGATGCATAGTTGGGTCCAGGTTGGTATATTTCTTGAGGGCCTCTACCAGCTTGTCTTGAAAAAAGGTGGGGTTCTTCTTGGGCCCCCAGGGTAACCTCCTTAAGCTTGTCATAGTTCAGCTGTTTCCTAATACCTCTTTTCTTCCCATCGTTTAGGCAGGTTAGCACATAATGTTTCCTTTTCCTATCACAACTGCTTTCTTGGTAATCCCAACCTGGGTCTGAGACAGGAACTGCTGCTGCCCTGGAAGGGAGTGTATATTGTGACATTTTTGGCAGGGTGGTCACCAGATTTCTGGGCTAAATCCCAAATTCTCCTCTTTTCTTCAGTAGTATAACAAGAGGAAATAATGATGTTAATGTATCCACATGTTAGGTCAAGTTGAGGGGCTATAGTTTTTCTCAAGAATTTCAGTTTTTGGAAACTTCTGGATACTAATTATAGGACTCTGAGGACAAACTTGCCATTTTGCTCCATCCAGCAGCATTCAAAGACTTGTTTTTTATTCTGATATTCAGGGTTGATTCAATGTTCTTAGATAGTTTCATAACGATTATTAACGTTAAATTGTGGGTAATATGGTTGTACAATCAGAACCAGTGCAGAAGGACGACACAGATGATTTTCAAGAGCCTGAAGTTAGCAAGAAAAGTAAAATTGAAACTGAAACTCTCAAAAAGTGTGTTGGTAAGTAGTTTAGATGAAAATTAATTTCAGATTACCTTTTGTATTTTATTTTATTTTTTTAAATTTTTAGGCAATTGGGATTAGTGACTTGCCCAGGGTCACACAGCTAGTAAGTGTCAAGTGTTTGGTCTGAGGCCAGATTTAAACTCAGGTCCTCCTGACTTCAGGGCCGGTTGCTCTATCCATTACACCACCTAGCTGCCCTCTTTATCCCATTCCTGATAAGAATAAGGTTCCAGCCCTCCTACAAGCTTCTACTGTATCATCTTTTCCCCCTCATTTATGAGAGATAATTACTCTTTTTTATCTCTTCCTATGCAGTTTTATTTTTTTTTTAAGAATTATCACATTATACACAGCTCAGCCCAAGCATTTCTTTCCTACTACTCAAATAGTGATGATGAAAATAAAAATACTGATAATATTTTCACATATAAGAAGTAAACAGTTTTACCTTATTTAGTCCTTTATAATTGGTCCTTAATGTTTATATTTCTCCTGGATCTTATGTGTTGAATTTTCCTAAAGTTCTGTGATTTTTGTCATAGATAACTGAAAATCTTTGAGTTGGTTAAATGCCCATTTTTTCATTTAGGGTTATACTTAATTATTTTTTCTGGGTAAGTTATTCTTGGTCATAGCTCCAGATCTTTTACTCTGCAGAACAGAGTATTCCAAGACCTACGGTCCTTCAGCATAGTAGCTGATAGAGTACTCACTCTAATTGAAGCTCTCGTGCCATTACAGTAGTTTCACCTAAATGCAAATCTTGCTGCCTCAGATCTCTTTGTATTTTGTTGTCACAATAATTTTCCTTAATGGTTGGTCTACTTGTGTTACTTCCCTCCTTGTGTCTAATCTAGCCTCTAGTGTAAAATATAAACTCATCAACTTGACTTTTAAAGCTGTGCAGTTTGTCCTCAAAATATTTTCTGTCTGACTATACTTATTTTCCCTTCCTTCTATTTCTCACATTGAATAGTTCTTCTGTTTCTGTTCCATTGTCGTGATTGTTGTTCCACACACTTTCTTCCTTCTTTAATTTTTTTGCTTCATTTTATCAGACTCTTTATGACCCTGTTTATAAGTTTTCTTGGCAAAGATACTGGAATGGTTTGGTATTTCCTTTTCTAGCTCATTTTGTAGATGTGGAAGTTGAAGAAAACAGGGTTAAAATGACTTGCCCAGGGTCACACAGCTAGTAAGTATCTGAGGCTGGATTTGAACTCAGGAAAATGAGTTTTCCTGACTGCAGGCCTGGTATTTTCTCATTTTCTCTCTCTCTTTCTCTCTCTGTCTGTCTGTCTCGTTTCCTCAGTCTATATTATATTTATATATTCTATATATAAGTATATATTCAAATAATACATATACTATATATATATATATATAACATATATAGCATATAAATATTCTCTCTTATGTTCTGTATACAAAATATATATGTACATGTTTTCTTCCCAGTTGAACCTATTGTTTAAGGAAATCTGTTTAAGGAAATAGACTATTTAATTTTTATCTTTTTACTGTAGTAATTTTAAAATATAAAAGATATGTTCAGGTATTTCAAAGGCTATCCCAGGAGAAAAGGAATACCCAAAGAGTTGCTTTGTTTTCTGCTGTGATTAATTAATGATGAATCTTGTTTTGATTGCCATCCTAGTAGATAGCGTTCCAGAAAAATTAGATGAAAGTTGTTAAAAGTTTGAGGATGGGAAATTACAGTTATCCATATATGCCTTGGGAGGTAGTGAGTTCCCCTGTCACTGGATAACTTTAAGCAGAAGTTGGATGATAGAATTTGAGAAAGATGAGATCCTTTCTAGTTCTAAAGCTTGTTAGTCTGTTAAAATTTGTGAAACTTGTCCATAATTTTCTATAAGTGTTCAGCAGTATGAATAACATGAATATATATCTTTGTAGTAGGATTCCTACTGATTAAGCAAATAGCACATTGCTTAAAAATATTGAATTATAAAAATACAATTTCAAGTGTTTTATACAATTTAAATTTTATTTGTCAGCAGACCATGCTTGTGATTGATTTGTTTTAGGAGAAAGACTACATCGGATTGTGAGCTGCACTGCTTGTGGACAGCAGGTGAACCATTTTCAGAAGGATTCAATATATAGCATCCTGCACTAAACGTCCTTATTTGTAAGGTATGTAGTTATGAACTGGATGATGATTTTATCTGTGAACTATTATTCCTTTTGTTCTGTAGTAGTTGAGTAAATGACAGATCTCTTCTTATGTTTTAAGATATTCTTTTATTTATGTGAATTCTGCAGTGCTTTGTTTCGAAAGTTTAAGCTCTGTCTTAAGAGCTCGGGTTCAGTAAATATCAAACTTTCATAAAAATCAGACTTGGTTAATAAATGGGTTAGTTTGGATTTACTTCACTTTTTAACTTGTATACATGAAAACAAACATGTGTGCCCAACTTGTGGTAGAGCCTTCTGAGTGCATACTTGTCTGATTGACCACAGCTGATCATCTTTGATTACAAAGGAAAGCAACCAACCAACGTGTGAACAGACACAAGTTGTTGTCTTTTAAACAAGAGGTTCATTTAATTTATGTGTTTCCCTTAAATTTCCTGAAGTACTCTGAAAAGTGTTGACCATGTGAATGACAGTACCCCTTTTGGGATCAAAACTTGTTTTCAGATAATTAATTATTATTAATTATTTATTATAATATCAATTCATTCACTTACTTTAAGGGTTTTTTTTTAATTAAAAATATATTTTGTTGCTACTTTTTATTTTTATGGCACAATTTCTTCTGGTTATGGTATTCCTTTAATCCACAGAATTGAAGTTGTTTTCAACAAGGAAAAATATTTAATTAAAAAAAAACCACCAAAAACCCAAACCCAGTACTCTGAGTGTTTGACAGTTATTCTGCCCTTGATTGTCTCTGCTTCTGGTGAGAGGAGGATATTTGAGATTATACATTTTTGAGGATTAGTATTTGTTGTAATGATAAAAATCTTTAATAATAGCGTTTTGTAGCTCTTTGAGGTTTCCAAAGTGCTTTACATATTTAATCTTGTTTGATGCACAACAACTTGTGAGGCTAGTGTTGTTATTATAATACCTATTTTGGTCATAAAAAAAATTAATTCTGAAAATAGTTAGGTTACTTGAGAAAGGATTTCTTCTGAAGTTGTCTAGCATTCTATCAACTATGCCACTAGTCAATGTTGGATTTAATTTTGTTCTTTTCAGTTGTGTTATTGTAGAAATGTTTTGTAGTGTTCTCTGGTTGCTATTTCTTTTCCTTTTATCAATTTATACAGTTTTTTCTTTGAAAATCTTCTGAGTTTTCTTTGAATCAGTTTTTTATGGTTAAAATGAATTCTTCATTCCTCTCTGTACTTACTACATGGTAACATTCAGCTATGGTTATGTTACACATTTTGTTCAGCCATTCCCTACTTATGGGTTGTTACTTTGGTAGCACTTCTTTATTATTGCAAAATATTTTATTTTTTTTTCTTTGCTGTGAGTAAAGTTATCACCCCACTTTTATGTTTAAAGATATTGGCTTAATGGTTTGAATCATTTTAAAATTTGTGCTTTGTGAATGTTAACATTTTAGTAGATTTTTAAAATGTAGAAATCAATGTTAATTCCTTTTTTAGAACTGCTACAAATATTATATGAGTGAGAACATAAACTGCAATTCTGAAGGAATTGGTGAGCAGTGCAGGTAGGAATATAATATCTAGAAAATATAATGAAATAATTTTATTTAATGTATCAGTGGCTCTTAATCATGTCAAATGTCAGAGATTATAGTATATGTTCAAAATGAGGGGGACACAAGTATTAGATTTCTAACTACAGATTTTTTTAAACATTTATTTAATTAGTTTTAGTTATCAACATTTTAAAAAAGATTTTCTTTAAATTTTCTTCTCTCCTTTACCTTCTCCCTCCTCAAGATGGCATGCAGTGTGATATAGGCCATATATGTACAATCATAGTAAACATATTTCTACATTAGTCATGTTATAAAGAAGAATTAGAACCAAAGGGGAAAACCACGAGAAAGAAAAAAAAACAACAAAAAAGTGAAAAATAGTATACTTCGATCTGTATTCAGACTCCATAGTTCTTTCTCTGGTTGTGGATAGCATTTTCCATTATGAGACTTTTGGAATTGTTTTAGATCCTTAAATTACTGAGAAGAATTAAGTCTATCAAAGTTAGTCATCATATAGCGTGACTTACAGTGTACAATGTTATTCTGGTTCTGCTCACATATGTATGATTCTGTTCATATATGAATCTCTAGGTTTTCTGAAGTCCACCTGCTCATCATTTCTCATGGCACAATAGCATTCCATTACATTTATGCACCACGACTTGCTCAGCCATTCCCCAACAGATGGGTATCCCTTCCATTTCCAATTCTTGGCCACCACAAAAAAAGCTGCTATAAATATTTTTTATACATGCGGGTCCTTTTCCCATTTGTATGATCTCTTTGGGATACAGGCCTAGAAGGGGTATTGCCAGGTCAAAGGGTTTGCATGATTTTATAACCCTTTGGGCATAGTTCCACATTGCTTTCCAGAATGGTTGGCTCAGTTCACAACTCCACCAACAACGCATTAGTGTTCTAATTTTCCCACATCTCCAATATTTATCATTTTTTTCTGTTTTTTCGTGTTAGTCAATCTGATAGGTGTGAGGTGGTACTTCAGAGTCATTTTGATTTGCATTTCTCTCAAATCAGTAGTGATTTGGAGCACTTTTTCATGTATAGCTCATGAGGCCTTTCTCAGAGACACTGGGCGTCAAACTGCTTTCCCAGCTTTCTGCTTCCCTTCTAATCTAGGTTGTATTGGCTTGGTTTGTGCAAAACCTTTTTAATTTCATGTCAGCGAAGTCACCCATTTTGCATGATGTAAATAATGTCCTCTAACTCTTGTTCAGTCATGAAGTCTTCCCTTCTCCATAGATCTGATAGGTAAACTACTCCTTGCTCTCTTAGTTTGCTTATAGTATCAGTCTTTCTGTTTCAATCATGTGCCCATTCTGACGTGATCTTGGTCTAGGGTATAAGATGGTGGCCTGGGCCTAGTTTCTGTCGTACTTTTTTTCCATTGTTCCAGGCAGTTTTTGGTACATCGTGATTTCTGATCCCAGAAGCTGGAGTCTTTGGATTGAACAAGTAGCAGATGACTATAGTCATGGACTGTTGTGTCTTGCATACCTAACTTTTCCCAGTGATCCGCCACCCTATTTCTTGGCTAGTACCAAGGAATTTGGAGGATTGCTGCTTTATGATACAATTGAAGATCTGGTACACTTAGGCCACCTTCCCTTGCACTTCTTTTCATTAGTTCACTTGATATTCTGAACCTTTTATTCTCCCAGGTGAATGTTGTGATTGTTTTTTGGTTTGGTTTTGTTTTTCCCCAGCTCTATAAAATAATTTTTTGGAGGGGTTTGATTGGTACAGCACTGAATATGTAAATGAATTGAGGCAGGATTGTCCTTTCTATTATATGAGTTGGGCCTACTCCTGCGCAACTGCTATTTTCCCAAGGATTTAGATCTGACTTTCTTTGTGTGAAAAGTGTTTTATCATTATGTTCATATAGTCCCTGAGCTTGTTTCAGTAGGTAACCTTCCCCATATTTTCTAATGTCTACAGTAACTTCAAATGGAATTTCTCTTTCTATGTCTTGCTGTTGGCCTCTGTTAGTAATATATAGCAATACTGATGATTTATATGGGTTTATTTTCTATCCTGCAACTTTGCTGAATTTGTTTATTATTTCAAGTAATTTTTTACTTGATTCTCTTATCATATCATCTGCAAAGAGTGATAGCTTTGTTTCTTCTTGGCCTAGTCTAATTCCTTTGGTTTCTTTTTCTTCTCTCATTGCTAAAGCGAACATTTCTAGTACAATATTGAATAACAGTGGTGATAATGGACACCCTTGTTCCACCCTGCCCCCATCTATTTTGGAAATGCTTCTAGCTTATCCCCATTATATATATACTTGGTGATGGTTTTTGATAGGTGTTACATACTATCATTTAAAGAAAGACTCCATTTATTCCTATGCTCTCTAGTGTTTTTAATAGCAATGGGTGTTGTATTTTGTCAAAATTTTTTTCTGTATTTATTGAGATAATCATATGATTTCTGTTAGTTTTGCTGTTGATATGGTCAGTTATGCTGATAGGTTTCCTAATATTGAACCAACCCTGCATTCCTGGCATAAATCCTACCTGGCCATAGTGTATTATCCTTGACAAAAATTGTTGTAATCTCTTTGCTAATATTTTATTTAAACTTTTTGCTTCTGTATTCATTAGGGAGATTAGTTTATAATTTTCTTTCTCTGTTTTGGGTCTTCCCAGTTTAGGTATCAGCACCATATTGTATCAAAAAGAATTTGGTAGGACTCCTTATTCACTAATTTCCCGAGACTATACTATATAGACTATTATCTTTATAGTATTGGAATTAATTGTTCTTTAAATGTTTGATAGAATTGCCTTGTAAATCCATCTGGCCCTGGAGATTTTTTTTTCCTAGTCAGAGATATAAGGAAAATGTTTGTTTCCATAAAATTGAAACAACCACTAGAAAAGTAACTAAGTAAAACTGGATGCAGCCAGTCTTATCTTGTTTGGCTGGTAGAAGTCAGTAAATAGGACAAAGGTTAAGCTTTACTTAGAGTGCACATTCAGTTTTGTCCAGAGGTCTATCATACCTAACTTTTCTAATGCTCTATTCACCTCCTTAACTTCTTTCTTGTTTATTTTGTGGTTAGATTTATCTCGTTCAGAGAGGGGGAGGTTGAGGTCCCCCCCAGTATCGTTTTGCTCTCTGTTTCTTCCTGTAGCTCCCTGAACTTCTCCTCTAAGAATCTGGATGCTATACCATTTGGTGCATATATGTTTAGTAATGATATTACTTCATCGTCTATGGTGCCTTTTAGCAGGATGTAGTTTCCTTCCTTATCCCTTTTGATAACATCTGTTTTTGCTTTTGCTTTGTCTGAGATCAGGATTGCTACCTCTGTTTTTTTTTTTACTCAGCTGAAGCATAATATATTCAGCTCCAGCCTTTTTTTTTACCTTTCCCTGTATGTGTCACTCTTTTTCATGTGTTTCCTGGAGACAGCATATTGTAGGATTATGGTTTTTAATCCATTCTGCTATCCACTTTCATTTTACGGGGCAGTTCATCCCATTCACATTCACAGCTATGATTACTATCTATCTTTCTCTTCACCCTTTCCCCCCCATTTATGCTTTTCTTTCTCCTTTCTCCTTTTTCCTCTTCCCTCCTCACTAGTGTTTTGCTTTTCACCACCATGTCCCTCAGTCCCATCTCCCTTCTATTAGCCCCCTCTCTTTTCTTCCCCTTTACTCTCCTTACTTCTTCCCTCCCTTCTATCCTCCCTCCCTTTTCTTTTCCTTTTCCCCTCCTACCTTTTACAGGGTAAATCTTGTCTGCCTCCTTGTTTCCTCTTCTCCCAGTACAATCCCTTTCCAACACTTAATTAGATTTTTTACCTTCACATCAAAGTCAACTCATACTTACACCCTCTGGGCTTTCACAGGTCAGTGAGGGAAGGTGAGAGTGACTTACTTCTTACTGCACAATCTTGGCTCCAGAAGTGGACCAACTTACATTTATAATTTTAAAGAAAATATTTTCATTTATATCATTTTTTTAAATTAGTAGATTTTCATTCCTGCTTAATTTTAATTTTTTGAGTCTTTAAGTAGTTGTTTGACTAAGAATGATGCCTTAATTTTTTGTGTTGTTTGTTTTTTTACATTTCAGATGGTGTGCAGAACGTGGAAACCTAATTTGTTGTGACTCTTGCGATAATGCTTTTTGCAAAAAATGCATTTCCCGCAATCTAGGGAAAAAAGAAATCTCAAAAATAATGGATGAAAACAATCAGTGGCAGTGCTATATTTGCCACCCAGAACCTTTGTTAGATTTGGTTGCAGTCTGTGACTGTGTATTTGAGGATATATCACTTTTGAGGCAACAGAATAAAAAGAAGCTAAAGTCTGCAAGTGAAAAGAGTGGTAAGACATGTAACCATCCACCTAAATTCTACTCCACCACAAAAGAAGAAGAAAAACCTCAGTTAGATGATTTTCACTCAGATGCTGTAACACATTCTTTTTCATCATTAATGGTTTCAAAAGACTTGATTACAAAGACTGAAACACTACTTGAGAACACTACAGTTATGAAGTCTAGTTTTGTGACATTTTCAGAACAAATAGCCAGCAATTCAGAAATGAGCTCAAATACTATGTTAAATCAATTGAAAGGTGTTAGATCTGTAAGGAATGACATAAGTAAGGCTCATAAGGCATTAGAAGAATGCTTGAACAAGGAGATAAGCAGCTTGGTTGTTAAAGAAAAGAAAGAAAATAGCAAAGAAGGAAAACATGAGAATGCTAAAAAAGATGCCAAAATTAAAAATGTAGATAAAAAATATGAAGTGGAAGATATATTTGCTACAAAAACAAAAAGGTTTCCAAATGACAAAACTGATGCAGAAATTATAGTTCCAACAGCAACAACTGGTGAGGTTAAGAATACAAATGAATTTCAATATGAACCTGCATGTACTTCTAAATCTTTAGATATGGACATTCTATCCATTCCTTCTTCAAGACCTGAAGATATTTTTGAGAATCAAGAAAGTTCTATCAATATCCAGAATGATGAAAATACTGAAATATATAAGGACACAGAAAATTCCCTTTTAGAAACAAATGAATCTTCAGAAGTTGGCAAAGGAAGATCCATGGTAAAGACATTAACGAGGAAATTATATGTTAAGTTTTCTCCTTTTTCCATGTCAGATGCCTCATTGAAAGATATTATTAGTCAAGAGAAAACAGAAGAGGAATATCAACAGGAGAGCAGTATTCCAGGAAATACTGAAGTCATCCCTGATAATGACACTGCACTATTTAACGAGGAAACTGACCTTCAAAGATCACCGCTTGTGAAAACAACATCTTCAATTGGACACATAGAAAAGGAGCTTGTAACATCTAATTCAGAAGAAAGTGGTGAAAAACGTAAACCAAGATCATCAGGGCAGTGGGAAAAAGAAGGTAGACAAGTTTTTTTGCCTGATGCTGAAGAAAAATTCAAGTTAATTAATAAAGAAACCAGTTCAGATGCAGATGAAAAGTCAGCTTTGTGGAAGGAGGCTGCCAAGGAGGATAAGAGTTCTTCAGAGTCTGATACTGATTTAAAATACGACAGTATTCAGAAGAAAATTGTATACAAGGCAAAGCATCATGAGCTTAAAGATCATAAAGGGAAACGAAAAAGAGAAGATTCCACTTATAATTCAGATAATGATAACAAAAAAAGGTGAAGTGTCTGAAAATCCCAAGAAACAGCAGGAAGAAAATGATATTTTATCTTCATCTGACATGTGGGATAGTGGTAAGTCTGAAATAAATATTGCAGAAAATACTGATGCATCAAATACTGAATATTTTCAGTTGTCAGGTATGTAAAAATGTTAAAATCCTTAGAGATATATTTCTTTCTTTTTTATGATAGTTTTAAACTATGTTATTAAAATAAGCAAACATCTTAGTGTGTAGGATTGTCTTGAAGTCTTTCTTTGTTTACAAAACATTTTCCTTTTATCAACTCTATGATCAAAAGAAATTATAAATTGTTTAGGGAAAGTATCGTTCTCATTTTGCATATGAGTAAATGGAGAGTTGGTACCTAAGTATGGAAATTTAGGGAGGAGAGCTAGCATAAAGACAACTGAATTTAGAATTGGAAGGTTGAAGTTTATGTCCCGGTGTACATTTGGCCCTGTCACTTAATAGAATTGAGGTAAATATTCTGAAAATCTCTGTCTCTGAAATCCAATTTTTCTAACCTCAAGTACTGGCTTTCCTTCTTTCTCTGATCCTCCAATTCTCTCTAGGAATTTTTAAAAGGTAGTAGGTTTCTTCTAGGCATGTCCCATTCTGGGCCTCAGTGTCTCCCTTTTGTGGTACGATGTGGTTGGACTAAGTGAGTGGAAAAGATGATGGAGCCAGCTTTTGTAAGATTTTTCAATGTTAGGCTCAGTATAGCTATGTTTTTTCACACTTAACCCAGTTTGTTTCAGTTTCCTTATATGTAAAATAAGCTGGAGAAGGCAACAGCAAACCACTCCAATATCTTTGCCAAAATACCCTAAATGGGTCATGAAAATAACTGAACAACAAGAACAGATGCTAGATATATAGAGACCAGTTCAGGAGCTCTCAAAATAATCATGAATCTGACCTAGTGTATCAACATTGAGAACATTATAAAGTATAAAGGAAGAATGAATGGACTTGATGTTTAATTGAATATAAGAGACTGAGAAATGGAATTGTAAAATCAGAAGTTTTAATCTACAGTGGTGAACAAATAATGCTATCTATAATCAAGAAATCCTAATAGCTAATTTTGTACAGATTTGGTACAGGTGATTTCAAGTTTCTGTACATGTTGAAATTTAAGGTGATTCTTTGATATTTAACTGGCAATAATTAATTGGAAATCAGTGGCCAAACATTAGAAAGGAGTTGCCATCCATACACCCAATCAATCATCTCTACTCGTGTGTGTGTGTGTGACATGTGTTACATATGTGAATTTGCATATACAGACATAATTTTATGTTTGTAATATGGATAACACATCTTATTAAAATGAAATTAAAATTTAAAAAGTAAATTTCACATAAATTTGTACTGCTATGTTGTTAAGATTAAATGCCTGTTGTACCTTCAAGAATATAAAGTAGCCTCTGGGTTTTGATCACATTTGTATTTTCCTCAAAAAGTCTCCAGACAAACAAGAACATATCCCCACTTACTTAAAGCAAAATAACATTTATTTTCTCTGTAAGTGTTGCCTTAAAGCTTTCATAAACTAAATTCAACACATATACTTTAATTTCTTATTAAAAAAATGAAATATACTTTTTTTTTTAATTCAAGGAGAATGAAACGAACACTACATCTGTTCCTGTTTTAATGGAAGAAGATGATGATGATCCTGAGAATTGGTATGGTTTCATCCCTGAAGTTTTAATTAATTGTAATAACTATTGTTATGGCATGTGAAAAACCAAAAACACCAAAAAGTTTGTTAAAAGAAAAACTTTCTGCATTAACGAGACTAAAGTTTATTAGAGATTTATACAACCAAAAATTATGAATGAGAATTTACAGCATATTCATTATTTATATTCAGAGGCACAACAAGTTGCATTTCTTTTTAATTTTGTATATTAGATGTAACATCAGTAATGAGGGCTTTAATCTTCTGTAGCTTTTACTGAGTTATAAAGATGCATAGAAATAGTTTTATAATTAAGGCAATTGTCTTTTGCTTAATCACATTTAATAAGAATTAGTATCTATCTATCTATAAATATATATATATATATATATATATTTAAAAACTAGATATTATGACACCGAATTAGATTAAATTTGCCAATTTTTGATCCTTTCGAAAATGTTTTAGGGCTTTACAATACTCAGTGTCATGGCTTTTTATATTATCATAGATCTACAAATAACAGTGATTTTCTTTAATAGAAATGGTTTTACTCAATACACATTTTGTTGTTCATATTTTAAGTCTCTTACTCAGGAACCACAAATCAAAAGTAGATCCATTGGCATTTTGAATAATAATTTTCTCTTTAAAATTCAAATATACGAGTGGCCATAATACCTCATTTTACAGAAAGATTATTGAAATCGTTTATATAGGTTAAGTCAAGCCAAGTCACTCAGTCAACAAGCATTTTATTAAGCATTTACTATGTGCCAGCCAGGAAAAAAATTCCCTGCTCTCTGGGAGCTCACATCCTAATGGAGGAGAAAGCATGTAAATACCTATACACACAAGATATACATAATAGAAATAGAGATAGAAAGTAATCTTATAAGTAATATCAGAGTAAGTTATTAAAAGATTTCATTCAGTAAGAGGTTTTCCTTACCTCTTCATCTCTGCCTCTTGGCTTCCCTAGATTCCTCCAAGTTTCAGCTAAAGTCTCATTTTCTGCAAGAACCCTTTGGTTGGTCCTAATCTTAGCGTCACTCCTCTGAGACTATTTTTAGTTTATGCCATATTTAGCTTTTTTGTACATAGTTGATTGAATGTGGTCTCCTTTATTAGACTGTGCATTCCTTGAGAGTAGGGAATTCTTTTTTCTGGTTGTTTTACATTCAGGTACAAAGCATTAGGTTAAGAAATACTTCTTGACACAATATATTTTTGTGCTTATTTTACTTCACAACATTTGGAAGTTCTTGCTATTTAAGTCAAATATAAATGTAGTCATAAGACGACTGTTTTAATAATTATTTTATTGTCTATTTTTCTTGCTTAACTTTTCTTGGGTTATTTTGGATTCATAATTACATAGTGTTATTTATTTGAGAATTAGTTTGTTCTTAACTAGAGAAAATATCTTATCTTAAAGGATTACCAAGAAGACTCTCTTAGAAGAAATAAAAGCCAATTTTTCCTCAGATGAAAGTGAAGAATCAGATGATACTAAAAACATTACTGAAAAGAAAGATGAAACAAATACAAGAAGTGAGGGTGAGAAGCATCAGAAAGATATACATGAATATGTTTGTTTCTTAGCTTTATTAGCTCATTGTGCTCCTGAAAATTGTAAAATTAATAGCTTTTTCAAACAGATGCCATTTACAGAATTGTTGGGAACCATTATAGCATTTAAATATGTCCAATGACATAATTAGTTGTTGACAACATGAAAAAGATGAAAAAAACCCTTTTTTTAATGTGGCATTTTAGCTCAAGAAGCCAAGTATTATAAATGTTTTGTTAAAAAAGATTTGTAGTTGTGAGGTGAAGTTTGGATAGATCTTAAGTACTCAATACTCAGATGAATCTGTGATCTGATTTATTCAAAAGCTGCTTCCAGGGATGTTAGATCACAACCCATTTGTGTGTCCACATAAATTCCTTTTTTTTTTTTAAATTTCATTCTTAGGGATTTGTGAAAAAAGCAATTTGAAATCTGATTCAGACTCTGAGGAAATTAAGAAGCTGAAATACAGATCCCCACTGGTTACATACAATCTAAATATAAGTGGTGGAGAATCTGCAGAAGAAACAAAAGAAAGCAAACACAGAAAGAAGAGGAAAGGTAAAAGTGAAATTCCTTAAATTGGTACAGTGGAAAGATGCCTGCTTTCATCAGTTAAATCAACACATATTTGTAAAGTGCTTTCTATTCATCCAGGGCTGTGCAAGGTACTGGTAATATAAATTAAAAACAAAGCAGTCTGTACCAGTAAGAAGCTTATATTATATCAGGGGAAGATAACAGACATATCAATAGATACACAGACAGGCAGATGTGTGTGTACTAAGTAAATATAACAGAAATTTGGAGGTGATAGATATTAATACCTCCAGGGATCACAAAAGCCTCATGTAGAGACATTTAGATGGTTTATTTAATAAAAAACTGGGCCTGTAGTCAGGATAACAATGACATCCTAGGATTATTATGAGGATAAAATGAGATAATATTTATAGAGAGCTTTATAAATCTTTAAGTCCTTTCAAAAAAAGCTGCTCTTTGTCCTCCTCGTCTTTTTTTTATTAGTAGTAATTTTGGGGTGAGTAGAGGAATTAACACTTGAGAGGATCAAGGAAGGCCTCATGTAGGAGATAAAAGTAATCCAGGTGAGAAATAATGAGGTTTCTGAATACGAATTGAAGTTGTATTATGAGGAGAGGGACCTAGTATGAGGTAATGTGGAAATAAAAGTGACAAGATTTGGCATCTGATTACATTTGTGAATACATGTATGAGGTTGTGAGAGTGAGTCACTGGAAGAAAGGTTAACCGAAAGAAGAATAAGAGATAAAAATATTGCCATATATATAGCAAGAGATGTTAGTTTATGGGGAAAATAGTTTTATTTTGAATGTATTGAATAAGAAATGGCTGTGAAACATCTCATTTGAAACATCAAATGGTGATGTGGGACTTGATCTCATTAGAGTTCTAGGGCTGTTTGTATAGATCTGGAAACCATTTGCATATATACTGATTAAACCAATGGCAGTGGGTGGTATCTATGAGTCATATACTAGAAGAGAAAAGGGTCAGGAGAGAACATCGGTGTATAACTGAGGTTCAGAGAAATGATATTAGATAATAATGTAACAACGAGAATAATTAGAAAATTAGGAGGGTGATGGGGTCACAGAGACATATTGTTTGGAAAGATCTTAAAGACCACTAAGTCCAACACCCTCCTTGCACAGAAGAGGAAATCAAGGCACAGCAAAGTTAAGGGAATTTCCCAGGGTTACAGTAAAATTGTCTGATTAAAGCAAAAAGAGTACAGTGTCATGAAAACTTAGAGAAGAGAAAGCATCCAGAAAGTTAAGAAAAAGGATCAAATATGACAGTTTAAGAAGCCATTGGTTATGTGGAGAATGACATAGTCCTTGAGGGAAGAATAAAAGGTTTTTCCAATTTTAGTGAGAGTCCAATTAAGATTAAATAAATTTTTTAGTGAACCTTCTCTCCCATATCTATATGTATATGCATATACATATATGTATATATGTATATGTATATGTGTGTATATGTGTATGTATACGTATGTGTGCATGTGTGTATACGAGTGTGTACATACGTGTGTGTGTGTGTGTGTATATGATTTTCACCAGCACTGTTTAGTAGCATATGAGTAGTAGATGTGGTTTATAAATTGGTGTTTAGCAAAGTGTCAGTGGCAATAGCACAGAGACGAGGGATCCAAAAGGGTTGCATTTGCACCTAGCACAGTGCCTGGCACATAGTAGGCACTTAATAAATCCTTGTTGATTGATTATTGGAGAAGTAGAAGACAGTTTAAAGCTGAACTGGTTAAATACAGAGTTAGATTGGGAAATGAGGAAAGTCAAGCCATAGTAGAGGTGATGAATTTCAGCATGTTATAGTGAAGACAAATAAGGCAAGAAAATGTGAAGAAAGAATAACATAGAAATTAAAAATGTCAGAATATTCGTGCAAGTGGTGACAGCATAGAAAATCCAAGGAAAGTTAGGAAGAGTTAGGGTGGGGGAAGGTTGGGAATGAAAATACTGAGATTAGTTTTGGACATGTTGAGCTTAAGATGTCTATGCGAATCCAGTTAGAAATGTCCTTTAAGCAGTGGAAGATGTGAGTTTGGGGATTAGGAGAAAAGTTAGAACTGGATAAGTAGATATAGAGGTTATAACTGAATGCTTGGGAGCTGATGAGATTACCATGTGAAGTAGTGTAAAGAGTAAAGAAGAGAACAGAAACAAAGGTATGAGCTAGCATTTGTTGACATGATCTATGTTTGTGGGGAAATAAGTACCCTTGAGATGGAGTGACTAGTCAGGCAGGTAGGAGGAGATCCAGGGAACCTACAGAGAAGGAAGAGAGGATGATGGACAGTGCTAAAGATTGTATTGAGATCAAGAAGAATGAAGTCTGAGAAAAAAAAAACAATATTGGATTTGACTATTAAGTAACTTGGCAGAGAACACTTTTCAGTGTAGAATCTACTCTAAAGAACCTAAGAGGGAAAAAAAAAGTGTAGGCAGCCTTGTAAAGGACCAGACAAAAGAAAGAGATATATTGGATGAAAAATAGCAGGGATGAAAGGAGTGCTTTTTGAGAATTGTGGAGACAAAGATAGGCAGTAAAAAAGCATACCAGTAGACAAGGAGAGACTGAGGATGGGATAATAGAAATAGCAACATGCTTAAGAAGCTGAAATGGAATAAGCTTTGGTGTTGGTGGCTTTGGAAAGAAGGACCATCCATTGATGTGAGACCGGTTGAAGAAGGAGATAATTGTCATCTGAGTGATATGACATGAGGATTGAAGCACATTTTTTTTTCAGTGAAATATGAGGCAAGATTCTCAGCTGAGTATGAGGTTTGTGGAAGGAGAAATGAAAAGGTTTAGAAAAGATGAGTAGGTTAGTGAAGAGGGATGACCTTGCTGCACTAAGGGCCCATTTGAGATTGTGTAACGTAAATTTGTAGTGTGATTTTGTCATTTCCTTTGTCTTTGTTCAGTTACATCTGAGTAGGAGAGTATCAGATGGTGGAAATAATCCAAGGCTAACGTCTGGTAGGACAAGATCAGTAAAAGAATAAGGAGGGAAGGCCCTCTAGAGAAGACAGTATAGCATTTGGCAGACTGGTTAGCCAAAGGGTCAGAATGGGGAAGAGAAGAGAGTGTAGCCATTGTAAGGGTTGGTTGCTTGATGTCCTTCTTTCTTGAAGAGGACCAAGATGACATCACTATGTTAGAGTCAAGTTACTCAGACCAATATGAGGTCTATCATAGATTGTAATGCTGTGGAAAGAGCTGATGAGTGGAGAGATTAGATATCAAGGTGAGGGTTCTTTGATTGTTTCTTCATTTCTTTAGTTGGCTGTCCTTAACTGTTTTTCCATTGCACCCAGATGTTTGCTTTGCAGCCACTAGATGATGGGTCACAGCTTTTTCTCCTTGGAATGAAGTTGTCCATAAAGTATAGTACTCTCTCACTAGCTACAGATTTGCCCATGTCTTGTTACAGATCTCTCTCCCTTCACTCACAAAGTGTCCCTTCAGTTGGACCACCTCCCAGAATTGAGATTTATCCTTTGCTTTTCACGTTTCTCACCTATGACTTCTCTTGCTGCTGAGACATTATTGTTAGAGAAGATATACCTTGGAGGAGATGTCTCTTGGCTAGGTATGACACAGAAAGAAATTTTTTTTGTTTTTTGTTTTCTCTTAAAAATCAGACTGAACCCCAAATCACTGGTCCCAAATTAAGCCCTACTTCATCACTATTTGGGCCTGATTGGCTCAAAATGAATGTAAATAACAATTATTTCAATTTTGGTCAAAAACCGTGAGGGTGTTCCCCTCCCAGATCTATTTATTTTTATTTTTTTCTATTTTATTAATTTACTTTGATTTATCAACAATCACTTCAACATGCTTTTGAGTTTAAAATTTTTCTCCCCCTTCCTCCCCACCATCCTCCCTATGACAGCACACAATCTGATATATGCTATACATTTACATTCCTATTAAACGTATTTTCACATTAGTGAAGTTGTAAGTACAAATTCTCACTAGTGTTTTGCTTTTGACCACTGCCTCCCTCAGTCCCTCCCTCCCTTTCTGTTTCTTCCCCTTTAGCCTTACTGCTTTTCTCTCCCTTCTATTTCCCCCTCCCATTTCTTTCCCCTTTTCCCTCCTACTGCCTATAGGGCAAGTTAGATTTCTATACCTAACTGATTAAGTTATTACCTTCTTGAGCCAAATCTGAAGAGAGTAAGGTTCAAACAATGCTCACCCCCCTCCCTTATTTCCCTCTGCTGTAATAGGATTTTCTGTCTTTTTCTGTAATGTAATTTACCCTTGTCTGCCTCCTTCTTTCACAGTTCATTTTCTAAGATCAGACTAATCCACTTACTTGGATCCATTTAACCCACTTGATTAGATTTTTTTTTATCATAACATCAAAGTTAACAAATATCCACCCCGTTTATGTATACTCCTTTAACATGGTGTAATAACAATACAGTTCTGAAGAGATGCAAGTGTCATCTTCCCTTGCAGGAATGTAAACAGTCCATACTTATTAACAACATATTGTATCTTTCTGTCCCATTTATCTTTTCATGTCTGTCTTGAGTCTTGTACTTGAAGATCAAATTTTTTGTTGATCTCTGGTCTTTTTATCAGGAAGGCTTGGAAGTCCCTATTTCATTGAATATCCATATCCTCCCTTGAAAAATCATGCTCATTTTTGCAGGGTAGCTGATCCTTGGCTGTAATCCAAGCTGCTTTGCCTTATTGAATATCATGTTCCACGCCCTGCGGTCTTTTAATGTAGAAGGGGTGAGGTCCTGTGTAATCCTGACTGTGGTTCCATGATATTTAAATTGTTTCTTTCTGGCTGCTTGCAGCACCTTCTCTTTCATATGGTAATTTTGGAATTTTGCTATTATATTCTTTGGCGTTGTCAATTTGGGATCTCTTTGAGGTGATGTATTCTTTCTGTGGTTATTTTCCCTTCTGGTTCTAGGACTTCAGGGCAGTTTTCCTTTATGATTTCCTGAAAGGTACTGTCCAGGCTCTTT